ATTTCAGCATGATTTGAAGAAGTAGAAACAATAGATTGCTTTGTGGAGCGCCATGATATGATAGTACCTCCATATGTAAACACGTACCCGGTTTGAGATCTAGCTTTATGGGGATCAGATAAATAACCTGCATCTGCATAACCAACAAGATCTGCATTATTTTTGTTAGCATAAAACAAACTCATATCAAGAGTTCCCTTTAAATATCGCAATATATGCTTAATCCCGTTCCAATGTCTCCGTGCATGAGAAGAACTATATCTTGCTAGTAAATTAATAGAAAATGTTATGTCAGGCCTTGTAGCATTAGCAAGATATATTAGTGCACCAATTGCACTGAGATAGGGTATTTCGAGACCAAGGAGTTCCTCATCCTCTTCTGGAGGTTGGAACAAATCTTTATTCACTTCAAGCAATCGAACAACCATTGGTGTACTCAATGTGTGTGCTTTGTCTATGTAAAAGCGTTTTAAGACCCTTTCTGTATAGGCAGATTGATAGATAAAGATCCCGTCTGCCAAATGTTCAATTTGCAGACCAAGACAAAGTTTCGTCTTTCCAAGATCTTTCATCTCAAATTCTTTCTTAAGATATTCAATTGCCTTTTGGAGCTCTTCTGGAGTTCCAATAAGATTTATGTCATCAACATAAACAACAAGTATAACAAATTCTGAAGTCATTTTCTTTATAAAAATACATGGATAAATAACATCATTTATGTAACCCTCTTTTAGCAAATATTCACTGAGGCGATTATACCACATGCACCCAGATTGCTTTAAACCGTACAAAGATCTTTGTAATTTGATTAAGTACATTTTTTGAGATTTTGAATATGCTTCATGTATTTTAAATCCTTCGGGAATTTTTATATAAATTTCATTATCAAGTGACCCATACAGATAAGTTGTAACCACATCCATTAGATGTATTTCAAGCCTTTCACGCAAGGCTAAACTGATGAGATATCGAAATGTTATGGAATCCATAACAGGTGAATATGTTTCTTCATAATCGACTCCAGGTCATTGTGAGAATCCTTGTGCAACAAGGCGAGCCTTGTATCTTTCAACTTCATTTTTATCATTCTTTTTTCGCACAAAAACCCATTTATGACCAACTGGCTTTATACCGGTAGGTGTTTGGACTACTGGTCCAAAGACCTCTCTTTTAGCAAGTGACTTCAATTCCGATTGAATTGACTCTTGTCATTTTGGCCAATCAGATCTTTGTCGACATTCTTTGATAAATCGGGGTTCAAGATTCTCACTATCTTGCATAATGTTAAGTGCAACATTATATGCAAAAATATTATCCACCACTATTTCAGATCGATTTAAATTAATCTCATCACCAGTAGAACTTATTAAAAGTTCCTCACTCACTTGAGTCTCGGGTTCATTGATTTCTTCAGGAATCTCAGAACTAATCAGATCTTGGGTCTCTTCAGGAGATACCTTCATAATATCATTTTAATCATTTGTCGGTTTTCTTTTTCTAGGATTTCGATCCTTAGAACCCAAAGGCCTACCACGCTTCAGGCGTGCTTTAGGTTCACTTGCTCTCATGCTAGTAGATGATCCTGCTGGGACATCAATTCGGATAGTCATATTCTCTGTAGGGATATGTGACTTAGTTATCCTTTTCAAATCAGTAAATGCATCTGCATTTGATTTGCTATATTCTGTAAATGGATGATCTTCTGGACCTCCTGATTACATATAGGGGTACGTGGATCAAAGTGAGAGAATGATAAAACTTTTCACACAATTTCTCTTTTGATTTTCTTTTTCTCTCCCCCTAATTGTGAAAAATTTGTTTCATCAAATCGACAATCTGCAAATCAAGCAATAAATAAATCTCCCATCAATGGTTCAAGATAGCGAATAATAGAGGGTGATTCAAACCCAATATATATTCCTAACCTTCTTTGGGGCCCATCTTACTGCGTTGTGGTAGTGCTACTGGCACATATGAAGCACATCCAAAAATTCGTAGATGGGCAATATTTGGTTCATGACCAAAAACTAATTGTGATAGAGAATATTTATTATAATGTGTCAGTCTGAGACGAATAAGTGATGTTGCGTGCAAGATAGTATGGCCCCAAACAGTAGTGGGCAATTGTGTTTTCATAAGTAGCGGTCTTGCTATCAATTGCATGCGTTTAATAAATGACTCTGCAAGGCCATTTTGAGTATGAACATAAGTTACAGGATGTTCAACTTTTATCCCAACTGATAGACAGTAATCATCAAAAGCTTGAGATGAGAATTCTCCAGCATTATCAAGGCGAATAGCCTTTATAGGATAATCTGGGAATTTTGCCCTTAATCGAATTATTTGGGCTAATAGTGTTGCAAACGCCAGGTTATGAGATAATAGTAGACACACATGAGACCATCTTGAAGATGCATCTATTAGGACCATAAAATATCTAAACAGCCCATTTGGTGGGTGAATAAGTCCACATATATCCTTATGTATACGTTTTAAAAAGGTAGGGGATTCAATGCCAAACTTCATTGGTGATGGTCTAGTGATCATTTTGCCTTGATAACAAGTATCACAAGAAAATCCATTATTTGTAAGAATCTTCAGGTTCTTTAATGGATGCCCACTCGAATTTTCAGTAATTTATCTCATTATTATTGATCCAGGATGGCCCAAATGGCCATGCCAAAGCACAAAAGTATTTGAATCTGCAAACTTCTAGTTTATGATAGAGTGTGTTTCAACTGTACTAATTTTTGAATAGTATAAGCCAGAAGATAAAGTTGATAACTTTTCTACAATGCATTTCTGGCCAGAAATATTCTTTGTAATACAAAGATATTCCACATTCATTTCATCTATCGTCTCAACATGATACCCATTTCGGCGGATATCCATAAAACTCAACAAGTTTCTTTGGGACTTAGAGGAGAATAATGCATTGTCTATAATAAGTTTTGTTCCCTTAGACAGAAATACAGTAGCTCTTCCAGAGCCTTCAATCAAACTTATATTACCAGAAATTGTAGAAATATTTACTTTTTCCTTATGAAAATAAGAAAAGTATTTCTGATCTTTGAATATGGCATGAGTTGTTCCACTATCAATTACACAAATATCTTCATGATTGGTCTTTGATCCAAACATAATTTGAGGATTATCCATATTCTTCAAAATGACATAAACAAAATAAATATGATAGTAAACAT